TAGTTAGACATTCTGCTTTACTAGTTGAATTAGGAAATTAAACTAGTGGTCACTTTTGTTCAACTAGTTAGCCTTACTAGTAGAACCCAGGGGGCGGACGTGGGGACTAAGTCCGGCCACATGAAATGTCAAATGTTAGAAATCCGCTGTTTATTATTTAAAGTTTTACGTCCGATTCGCTCCTTTTTTCCTCCCTGTACACAGCTCCAGTTTGGGCATTGGCCTGTCATCAGATTTCATTTTTAGTTGCTGCTGTAGCGGAGGTTTAGTCAAATTATTTTTGATGAAATACTCCAAATCTCCATCCTCCATAATTGCACTTGCTTCAGTTGCTTGCTACTTTTTAAGGGCGGTGATGTTACAGTACAGATGTTACAGTTACAGTTACAGTACGAACTGAAGTTGATGCGATTTGATTGGATTGTGAGGCATGACGTGAGCCTCATGTGATTGGTCAATCCCTCGATTTTTTTCACCAAGGGAAGCCAATTTCGGCTAGCCTCCTCTCGCAACAGAGAGTGCAATCTACTGTTTCACCATAACTTCTAGAGGGGCGCTGTTTCACTCTTTGTAAAATACTCAATGAGAATGGGGGAGAGATGGGCCGGCAGAATAATTACCGAAACTAAACGAAGTGTTTTTATTTATTTATTAAAATGATAACTACAATCCAAAAAAACAGGGGAAGCATGGCTTCCCTAGGCCTCCAGGAGGAAATGCCACTGAGTTCAAGGGATAATTCTCACCACCTCTTGCTCTTGCCCTGCTCAACTCTGTCCCTCATCATGAACGCAGGAGGCTGGCTGTATATCTGAACTCGCACCCTCATCATTCTCTTCATCATCTTGCACTTGTTCTAAGCTGCTGCTGATAGTGCTTGTAGCAGCACTGCTGCCAAAAAGGTCTGTCAATTTGCGACATTTATATGCTTCACCTGCGAGTGACTTCACCTTTTTTTCTCTTGCCTTCTCGGCCCCACCTTTTTCTTTTAGTTTTCTTTGATTTTTATCCATGTTTGTTCATTCTCCCTGTCTGCCGCGGCGTCTAATCCCTTCTCTTCGTGTGGCCGGTCTTTTTTCTTCTTCGTGTGTGATTATTTGACAGATAAGAACCACACAACTGCATTAGCGGCCGCTGTTGCCCTCTGTCGGCCGTCAGCGCAACTTAAAGGATGACGTTAAACAACTTTTTCTGTTTAAAGGGCCGGCCGTCAACGGCCCTTGACGACCGGCCGTTCTGTGGTTCTCCAGATTCTACAAATGGCCAGTCCGCCCCTGAACACAGACCATTTTACTTCCAAAACACGTCACGCATTGTGTCTGATACAGGGACGTTTCTGATAGGGCCGTTCGTGTAAAGCCTGCCCACATTTCCTATATTACGTCATATCGGACGCAAATCTGGATCAGCTCCATTTTTCCCCCATTTTTAGAGATTTGGGTACGGAGGAAAAGAGAGAGGGTTTTATTTTCTGACACTTTGTGAGTCTCCTTACACACCGGGGACACATTTATGTTTAAAATCAATCAAAAAGTGCATTTTGCATTATAGGGGACCTTTAACAGTAAACCATCTCTTTGACATTGGATTTCCCAATCATCAATGTTTTACAATCTTAGATTTGAAACCTGGTGATACTTATTTAAATGAATTGAAAAGAAGAAAATTCATCCACCCAAAAATGGGTTGTTTCATGCTACTTCTCTGTTTTGCAGTCATACAAGATCATCAACTTCGCCCCCACCCTGCTTCAGATAATCGTGTCGGAGCAGGTGGATTTTCCTGTTCGCCAGGCAGGTAAGGCTCAGCAGTCCATAACCTCACACTGTTGTTTGGTTGCTTCGCATATCCCTGCTAAACAGTTATTCTGTCAGAATGTGTAAACACTGCCCCAAATGTACCCCTTTTCCACTGAAAGTCAGTTTGGTTCTAGCTCCATGCTGGTGCATGTTTAGGGGAAATGTATCGGAGTAAAAGTACACATTTAGTTTGCACATCACCGGTGTGGCAGCACAAAAACATCAAATCAACGGCAAATCAAAACAAACAAAACTCTCCCCACCACAAAGTTTAGAGAGAGCACAACTTAATAAGTGACTAATAGAAGTTATTAACAGAAAAATAGTAAAATCAAATAAGAAAGCATAAAGTTAAAATGATTACAAATCTAGCAGGAGCCACTGCAACAGGCTGTGGCACAGATAGCACATGCTCACTTTTATACATTAATATCTTCCTTTTGGATCAATAAAGTGTGTGTGTGTGTGTGTGTGTGTGTGTGTGTGTGTGTGTGTGTGTGTGTGTGTGTGTGTGTGTGTGTGTGTGTGTGTGTGTGTGTGTGTGTGTGTGTGTGTGTGTGTGTGTGTGTGTGTGTGTGTGTGTTAGTGTGTGTGTTGTGTGTGTGTCGGTGTGTGTGTGGTGTGTTAGTGTTAGTGTGTGTGTAGGTGTGTGTGTGTGTGTGTGAAAAAACAAAACATATTCTGCTGCTCTGTGAGCTCCCCTTACAGGGTTAGGGTTCTGACTCTGTCTGACTCTGTGTGTAGCGGCCATCTACCTGAAGAACATGGTGAGTCAGTACTGGCAGGACAGGGAGCCCTCTCTGGGGGAAGTGGTCTTTCCCTTCAACATCCACGAGAACGACCGGCAGCAAATCAGAGACCACCTAGTGGAGGGTATCATCCGCTGTCCTGAGTCAATACGGTAAATAGACAAAACATGGCCGCACATATATAGCACACATACTTGTCATTCATCACACATGTCTGCATCCCTTCTGTAGTGTTTGTAATGGATAGGCCTGTTAATCTATAAAATCTTTTTAAACATTGCGATTAGTTTTATATTTAGATAACAATGGGAACCTGAAATGTATGCTTTGAAAGAATACACTTTCCTCCTGACTAATACAATAACTGACTTCATATGTTTATGCACTGTCCGCAGTTCGCAGCTGACCATGTGTCTGCGAGTTGTCATCAAACACGACTTCCCAGGCCGCTGGACAGCCATAGTGGATAAGATCGGCGCGTACCTGCAGTCTCAGAGCAGCGGCAGCTGGTACGGCAGCCTGCTGGCTCTCTACCAGCTGGTCAAAACATACGAGTGAGTAAGCTGTTCATTTTCATCTGCATCACCTCACTGCTGAGAAGGACCCTCCTGGGGAGTCATTAGCCCTCACATCACAGGTTTAAAGGAGGAGGCGCCCATGCTGGGAGAATGCCTCTGAACTCTGTTATTTCCAATATTTCTTTAATAAAAATCCAGCCTCAACACCACATACAAATATCCTTCTTGAATACCTTTAGGAAGACCAGTCATTAGATCTGTTAAAAACAACAGCTGCTGCTATAGTATAACCAGCGAACTCTATACACAGGCTCGGTTATTACATTAGCACTTCATATTCTGATTCATGATGATGGAGAAGTCCTCCTTCTGACTTGCAAAGGCCCCTTGTGAACAACAAATAATATTTTTCCTCTGAAACAAATACCAACAAGCACTTTGAGAAGTCTATGCAGGCAAAAAGACAGAAGAAATGAGCTCAATAAGTCTGTAGTTTACCAGAATGCTCAATTTACAAAAATGCTTATCTTGTGAGTTTGCAGGTATGAAATAAAAAATCATTTATTTTGTACATCATCATCATTTCAATATATTTTTCCATGATTGTGTGTAAAAAAAAAAGAAAGAAGGTAATTTATCACAATATCAGTCAAAATATTTGTTACCTTTTTCCCAAATCAAGCAGCATTAATTGGCAACACACAAGTCTCATTACGATCAGGCATTTTATTGCCATTACAATTATTAAAACATTACTTTTTGTACAATCAATCAATGAAAATACTTTATTAATCCCCGGGGACATAGGTTTCGTGACAGTTGCACCATATTAAAATCAGTAAATATGACCACCATGCTAGCCGGCTTCAGACAGCCGTGGGGTTGCTGCACAACAGTGGCATATATGCACAACAGCAGCACCCAATGGCAAAAAAAACTTCAAAATCTCTCCCTACAAAACAGATAAGAGAAGGCACATCTTAATAAGTTACGAGCAGAAGTTATAAACAGGAGATGAAATGTGCAGAAGAGATCCATTCTATTATTGATTGTGTGCATACTTGCATATCTACATGTTCCAGGTACAGGAAGGCGGATGAGAGGCAACCATTGTTGGCAGCAATGCAGATCTTTCTGCCGAGGATTCAGCAGCTCATCAGCCAGCTGCTGGCCGACGCCACCATCTTCTCTGTCCTCATCCAGAAACAGATCCTTAAGACCTTTCACGCTCTCGTACAGGTGTGTGTGCGTGTGCATGTGTTCATGTGTGTTTTTTTTTAGCTTGACTTGATTCAGAAGCGTAATGTCTTAAGACCTGTTCTTGGGAATATCTTTATGAAGAAATGAGTGCTGTCAAAAGATCAAAAATATTTAATCGGATTAATCACAAGTTTAAAAGGAACATATTTATTTGTAGTTTAATTTTTTGTTGGTGGAAAGACAAATGCAGGTATGGAAGAATGAGATGCTAGAAGCAGTTAGATCAAGATTTTTATTTTATTTGTTACTTTTCACTTGAGTTTTTCTGAGCAAAAATGTCTCAGGGAGTATTGACCAAAACATCGATAATAAATTATATAATAAAAATAATTGCTGCATTGTTTAATTAGTTCTAAGTGGTGCAGTTTGAGAATGTACAATTGGCCCAGTCTTCTCTAAAGTTACACTGCAACCTGCCTGTGAGACACTGTGAGTCCAACCATACAGTCTGTGTCCAACACATGACCTGCAATACACATGCTACAGCTGCCCAGCTGCTCACTGTTTGTAAAAGTAAATAAATAGTATTTTCATTTAAAAAATGTACT